ATCCATTTAGTTTTAGTAGAGGTTTTACTGCGCTCGCAACTGCATAAGGTCATATGAGCGCCAGAAGATTAGATATATTACACGAGAGTAACAAACATAAAAAAGAAGACGGGGAGATAAAGACGATAGATGTTTGATAGGAAAGAAGAAGCAAACCACACCAGAGCACCCGCCAACCACCGATTTTTTTTTTTTTTAATTTTTTTTTGGGGGGGGCTACACTTGACCACAGAGGTTTTTTAAAACAGAGTCTACCGTAACTTTAAGGCGGGCAGAATTTTCTAAATTGGTGCAATCAGAAGCTGTGACATCGTTTCCACGTTTGGAAGTTTATTTCATTTGGTACCTGATTTTTCCCTCGGATGCTGCACCCCACACAATCAGCCCTGACAGGCAAGATGGAAGTAACCCGCCTCTTAAACGATCTAAGGTGTTTTGATGGGGGAGTAAGACACGTTCAATCCTTTTCAATCTTATTTTACCCTTCGTTGCATAGTGTCTACTAGTAGACATGACTTTAAGGTTAAACCATGGTGTCATTACCTCACACACCCATATCAGTTTGTTTTGTTAAGAAAGTTCAAATCCTCCTTGTTTTTATAGCAATTCAGGGGCGCATACTCTTAATTAATTCCCTTCCACCAACAAGCTACGACATGATGTCCCCAGCTCCAAGAATATGCAATCCCATCATGTGCCACATTTCATACTTTTTGCTAGTTGATTGTGCCTTCGACTCAATGAACGTGTGTCCGGGTAAAGGCAGTGTGTGTCCGGGGAGGCGAGCGGTTGTTCACCCTCCCCACTTCAACTCCTGCTACATAATCCTATGAACAAGTTTTGGGAAAGATCTAGAGAAGGCAGTGAAGAGGCTATACTTGATCTCCGTGATGTACTGTGTGAGTCTCCGAGATAGAGATCTACGCAGGGAATAGAGCTGTGAGAGAGCGAAGTGTAGTGTAGGGGTATGGTGGACTTTCTACTTAACGGTTTACAATTAGTGGGTAAGAGACAGCAGAACTTGGTTGATGAGTAAATTGTTGCGAGTCCAGGGCTTCAAGTGGTTGACACCGGCGTCTGTGTCGCAATAGCTAGGTTCCACACAGTCAACGAATGTCAAATGAGTTCAATTGAATAGTGGGGAAGATGTTAACATTTTATAAAATATAAAATGTCTTTATGTCTCTCTGTTGGGAAGATATTAAAACCATATCAAGTATAATAAACTGTGTCTTTCTGTTAGGAAGTAATTAAGATTTTACGAAGTATAATGCCTGTCTTTCTGTAGGGAAGTAACTAAAATTGTATAAAATGATAAAATGTCATGCCAGTCTGTCTAACGGAAAGCTATACCCCAGGTAAAACATCCTCGATGTCCTTGATAAGCAGTGTGTTAAACAGCCTGCCTCCGAAATTATCCAGACGTATGGATTGTGGGGGAAAATCTCAGGCTTATGGGGTAGGGAGGTGAGGATTGTAAGTACATAAAGTATCAAAATGTACAGTCAAACTTCACTGACCCCTCTCTTTGACGTATTGAGTATCATCTTGCCGACGTCATCTGTGTTGTATTGTTGACGTTCCACCAGTAGTGTTCACCAGCCTTAGTATTTCATACTTTGGATAACCTGCGTCCATGGTATAGCGGTTAGGGGCGCACAGAAAACCTGGATTCGACTCCAACGTGGAAGGAATCTTTATCGAGTATATCTCAGGTGGGAATTTGTGTCCCTGTCAACCAAGGCTGGCCCTGACAGTCAAGGTCGAAGCCGGCTCTTAATGAATCAAATTATGTCGAAGGGGGTGTAAAAGACATATATATG